TAGCATCAGAAACTAATGACTGGGAAAATCAATAGGTAGCATTTGTCATACAAAATCATAATTTCAGAACCAACCAACTCAATATAACTATTATCTTTAGGCCAGACTTCAGAAACAGATAACTTTTTCGTTGAATGTTGCTCCATTCACTCGAGCCAACCTAAAACATGAATGGGAGCCCATCATCTTACTGATGAGAAATGAAAATTGAAGTAGGATACACAAAATTAGGCTACCTTGGGCACAAGTCGATTCAACCAGATGGCTTTATAACCGCAAAGCATCACATCTTATCAAAGTAGATGGCCAAACACCCTCTACCTGGTGCTTCGACCACATATTGGCTCCATATAAATAGAAAAGTGATCCATTATATTCAATGAAATGAATTTTTACTTTGAAGCTTTCTTTTTCATGAGCTTCTTATTTCTGATCGCATCATACAGGAGCTCATAGGCATAGTATGTAATGTGACCCTTTTTCAACAAGTCTTCCACAAGAATCTTAGGAGCAGCCACAACCTTTTTATCAGCCTCAAAGATTGTGTTCACAACCTCAGGAACTATGCCCTTCTGTACCATCAGATAAATAATATCAACAGCTTCACGTAGTCTATGCTTCACACATAAACAATTTAAAACTCGTCCAAACGTTCCAAGGGATGGATTGAATCCTCTCTTAACCATTTCAAGGAGAAAAGAGCTTCCAGAATCAATTTTATCAATTTTGCAGAAACCGTCTATCATACACTGAAAAGTGAAGTCATTTGGGGGACATTTTTTATCACTCATGTTATGAAATAGCTTTTCTGCTGCATTCATCTCTAAATTCCTGGCATATGAGCTTAAAAGTATGTTGTATATTGCCGTTGTATGAGAAAGATCACGTTGCTGCTCCATTCTCTGAAATAGCTGATAAGCTCCACTGAGATCCCCATTTTCACAAAATCCATTTATTAACGTCCCAAAACTGACAACATCAGGGGGTACACCACTTTTGTCCATCTCCTGCAGCACTTCTAAAGCTTTGGTTAAATTCCTATCCTTGCACAAGCTTTCAATGAGAATGTTAAATGTGATGATATTTGCAGAACAGCCTTGTTCAACCATTAAGTTGAACATTTCTACCACATTCTCTGCCGATGAAGTCTTGCAGAGTCCATCCAACACTGTGTTGTAAGTGATTACATCAGGACCAACATTATGAGCCAACATGGTATTCACAATTTCAAGGGCATCAGTTATTTTCAACTGTTTGCAATAACCATCAATTAGAGTGTTAAAGGAATATACATCAGGATCAAGCCCCTTGGAGATAGCATCATCCAGGATGTTCTTGGCGTCAGATAAACATCCCATCTTGCACAATCCATTCAGTATCAAATTGTATGTCCACATATCCGGGTTACAGCCTTTTTCAGACATATCGTTCATAACCTGCAATGCTTCAAGAATCATACCATTTCTTGTCAACCCCTTGATTAATGTATTGTACATTATTATGTTAGGCTTCATACCTTTTCTGATCGCTTCCTCTACCAAACCAACGGCCCTATTTGGATCACCATCTTCACAGAATCCACATATTAGGGAATAGTATGTGAACTCATCAGCAATGAAGCCTTTAAAAACTGCATCATTTATAATTTTCTCAGCCTTTTGTACCATACCCATTTTGCAAAATCCATCGATAATAGTATTGTAGGTGATAGCATCGGGTTGAAACCCTGCATTCACCATTTTATGCAAGTACAACTCAGCTTTCATAACTTCCAAGTTCTTACATAAACCAGATATTACCGTATTAAATGTGACAGTGTCAGGAGTCAAACCATCCTTTGTCAGACCATTCAACTTCCTCTCAGCTTCATCAAGCAAACCTTTTTTGCAAAGGCCTCGAATAATAATGTTGAATGTAAAGAGATTAGGAAGCACACCCCTCTTAAAAATCTTGCTTAGAAGTCTCTCGCTTTCTACAATATCCCCCATCTTACAGAGCACATGTATGAGCTTGTTAAAGGTTTCAGCATTTGGAATAATCCCAATCCTAAGCATATCATCAAATAATTCACGAGCCTCGTACTGATAACTTGACTCGTAAAATCCACCAATTAAAGTGCAGTAGGCAACAGCATTAGTATCACAACCCTGTGCAGGCATGTTTTTCAACAGCCTCAAAGCTGTATGAGGTCTATTTGTCCGACAAAATGACTTTATCCTTATCGTGAAGGTATAAACATCAGGAACAATCCCTTTATCCCTCATTCTCATGTACACTTTGTGAGCTTGATTAAAGTAACCATTCTCAACTAAGATATTCATGATCGCATTATATGCCTGAACTGAAGGTTCACAGTTGTAAAAATCCATTCTTTCAAACACATCAACGGCCTCTTGAATCTTTCTTTTCCTACCATAACTTTTTATAGCACTAATATAAACACCTTCCATTAGAGTATTATCCATCTCTCCTCTCATCTTTTCCATGACATCTTCCATGACCTCAAACTTCCCATGATATCCAAGCTTCTCAATCATGCATTTATAAGTTAACACATTATGCTTGAAACCGTCATCTTGTCTTACAGAGTTAAACATTTCCAGTGCCCTCAGGGGATCTTTTTGATGCTTAACTACAGCAACTACATGTTTTGTAAGTACAGAAGATTTCATTCCAAATCAAATGACCCTTTCAAAAATATTTTCAGAAGCCCAGGCAATATTTTTCAGTTCCGCAACCAAAGATCTCTCTTCACTTGAAAACAAACGAGGCCACAAAAGAAAAAATTAATTACAAAATCAAATATTACACACAACAGCAGCCAAATGCAATCCCAAAGACAACAATTTAATGACTATTTCCACCTTATAGGCAAAATAAAGAAATAAATAAAGTCGAGCAATAGAAAAACTACAACTTCGACATAAAAATTCCTAGAAAGCCACAACCTTTCAATATCAGCACCCACGGATTACAGTTCCCAAATAAACTCTACAACAGAATGTTACATTAGAACTTCTGAAAAACATCATTAAACACTCATTCTGTATGGGTTCTACATTTTATTCTTTATAACAAATATAAACTCAAACAACAAGCAATTTCAAAATCCGAAAACAGTAGCTTTACCAATCAAAATTTCCCACTGAACTATCCACTATACCCGCAAACCTAAAGGGGTAAACTTAAAATTCACAAAAAAAAAAAAGAACACCAACAGAAACAGCAAACAGAATGTACCCGAAGCAAGAACCATCAAACAATCCATTTTCAATGTTCATTTTAATCCATTTGAATCCCGAAACGAGGTTCTCAATTGAAATTAACTTTTCTTTCTTCACTTTGAAAAAGCCAATCTGAAATTTCAGCATAAGAAAGGAAAAACAGAATCAAAAGAAAACCCAATAAGGAAAATCTTACCTTTTGAGTGCAGGGCTTCAGAAAGTGGACGCCATAGATGCTGCCTTTGGGGGATGACGGATTGTGAACTGTGAAGTTCTGATGAATTGAAGAGAGGAAAGAGAAGAAGAAGAAGAAGAAGAGGAGAGAAGACGGTTCTCAAATGCAACCCCGAGGTTTAATCTAATATCTAAAACACCCTTACTATTTGAAACAATATCAAATATGCCCCTTGACCAGCAAGTCAACTATCGGAAGAGCCCTCACGCACCGGAAACATATGATGTCAGGGAAAAAAAAAGTTGTAAGCCCACTTTTACCCTTCATTATTTACAAAATGCTTTTCTGCTGCATAGATCACCGGCGATGGATAAAGTGTTTGGCCAAAAATTCAAACCCAATAAAACTTCAATAATTCATCCGCATTCAATTTATGTAAATCCAAATCAAGAATTTAAAGTGGTTCGAGAGGGATTACATTTACAACCAGCACGAAAAAGAAAAATCTCAACTCCAAATAAATTGGTCTTGAACTCATTGTGATATCCATTTAAGCGAATCTAATAAATTTAAGTTCTATCAACCTATACAACTAACAAAAATCAAAAGAGAAAATTATGAATATATCAGGTGAGATGATTTTCTCGAACCTCAAAGAGTTCCATCTTGTGGGGATCAATCGATTACCCCTGAGTATCGATCAGAGTAATCATATTAGACCTCTGATACATAATCGAAAGAAGAAGAATAAAAGGCTGGTGTTAGGCTTGGTATGGAGACGAGAGCACCGGTCACCGTAAGGATTATGTTCTGATCTTGAAATAAAACGGGCAATTCACTTTGTCTTTCTCCGTCCAAAAAGTCGACGCCAAGTGTTCTGTATGCCATTGGTCTTATACTGAATCCTCCCAAAAAAAAAAAATTAAGCTCTAATTTTATTTATTCTGCTCCGTCGAGAATAATTTTGGCCTTTGGGGTTGGGATTTGAAATGAGAAACATCTCTGCCCGCTGCCGCTGTGTTTCTCCTCTTCTGTTGTACCAAATCCGGCATACCAGCAAGAGGAGCAATGTTCACCGAATCCCGTCATCTATTGTACCAAATCTGGCATAAAAATACAATCTTTAATCGGTGACTCTCTAGATCTCAGATTCACAATGATAAATTTGTTGCATCAAAAGTTTAAAGAAAAAGAATGTTCTAAGGAGGAGATGATGGTGAAAATTGATAATGACAATGAAGAGGTGATAGTGAATGAGAGATGAAGAAGATGCTGAAAAAGGAGACTTTCTTCCTCTTTCTTTTTCAACGGCGGAAGGTTTTTTTTTTTTTTGTTTTTTTGGGAGTAGAATTATTTTAAAAGAAGAATAAAGAGTTGGCAGGAGGTTTTGAGGGTTTTCTAGTCATTTCATTCCTGTTTTCACTTGACTTTCAACTTTATTCAGTCAAGGGGTGCATATGATATTTCTTCAAAAAAAAGGGTGTTTTAGATTTTGGATCAAATCTCGAGGGTGTTTTTGATATTAACCCATTAAAAAATGAATGTCAAAAGATCATCGTACCGGTCAAACTATTTTCGCACGTTGTGGAAATCCTACTTCTATTCCAATCACATCCTTTTTGTCTTTTCTAGAGTCGTCGCGTCACCATATTCACAATTGTCATTTGTCTGATTTTGCTTCTCTCTGTATTTCGCAGAGAAAAATCTCTGTTTCTTCTACTTCTATTAAAAAAATGCTCGATGGATTTGATTCACGTCGTTCTGGATGAACCCATTCCTGATAATTTGATATTTTACCCTGTTGCAACAATTTGCTGATCATCTTCCATTTTTCAAACCCTCGTAAGATTTCTTTCTTCAGTTTTTTTTTTCTCCTCCATTGTTTCGTCTTTTTGGCCTGCTTTCTTTACGCGTGTGCGTTATTTTTTGAGTTTCACTGGGTTGTGCAGTATTATATAGCATTGTGTTTCGATTTTCCGTTCTACGATGATTTGTTTTGGTTAATGTGGGAAAAAGGGCAAATCCTTATCAAATTTGATTTATTTGATGTGTCTCTCTTTGTTTATCTATGCTTTTGGAGAAGTAAGTAATGTTTTAATCATCTAAATTTGCAACTGTTAGGAGGTGCTTCTTGTTGCTTAATGCTTATGCAGTTATTCCCTTATAAGAAAGGGAATTTTGGCTTGATTTATTTGGATTTGAAATTTAGAAGACATGAGTTTTGATGTATACGCTATTGTTTTTCTGTTTTTGGCCTTCAATTGGTTTGGAATTATGCCTCTAGTAATCCTCAATTATGAGTATTAGTTGTGGCTGATTAGATAGTTCAGAGGCTGCATTGCGATGCCGGGATTATTGATTTTCAGTTTTCTGAGATCTCCAACTTCATGTTTAGTTATAAGATTTTTATGAAGAATTATAGATGTAGGGGGAGTAAAAAGAAGAAACCAAATGACAGTAGACAATTCTTTCTTTGATATAGTCTTTGTTCGGTGTTCTGTCCTTGACGACTTGCTGTGACTGATACTTTAGCTCTCTGCAAGTCGGTCCCCTGTGAATTATGAACGAAATATATTGCAGGAGAATCATGGCAACAAAAGGGAATCCAGGAGACCTTAGAAGTAGAAGTTCGACATCGATGTTCATTGTAGCTGGCCTGTGCTGTATCTTTTATCTTTTAGGAGCTTGGCAAAGGAGTGGTTCTGGAAAGGGAGACAATATAGCATATAAAATTACACAAAAATCTGAAGACTGCAGTCTTATTTCCAATTTGGAATTCGAAACACATCATGGCAATAAAGCTGTTAATGAATCATCCTTTGTGGTCAAGGAGTTCAAGCCATGTGATGGACAATATACAGATTATACGCCCTGTCATGATCAAGCCCGGGCAATGACATTTCCTCGTGAGAACATGAACTACAGGGAGAGGCATTGTCCACCTCAGGAAGAGAAAATCCGTTGCCTGATACCTGCCCCAAAAGGATACTTAACTCCCTTTAGATGGCCCAAGAGTCGTGATTATGTACCATATGCTAATGCACCACATAAGAGCTTGACTGTGGAGAAAGCAGTTCAGAATTGGGTTCAATATGAAGGAAATGTATTTAGGTTTCCTGGTGGTGGAACACAATTTCCCCACGGTGCCGATGCATATATTGAACAACTTGCATCTGTAATTCCAATAGATGATGGGACAGTCAGAACTGCATTGGACACAGGATGTGGGGCAAGTGTGAACCTTTAGATATTTTGTCAAGTTTTCTTAAATAGTGCCAAGCAACTTCAACTTGTGCTTCAATCCTTTGCTTTAACCTTATATTCTTTACGTGTAATGCGTTAGAATCCATACTCATTTATTATTTATGTTTAACCAGGTTGCAAGTTGGGGTGCATATTTGTTCAAGAAGAATGTTATAGCCATGTCGTTTGCACCTAGAGATTCACATGAAGCACAAGTGCAGTTTGCTTTGGAAAGAGGTGTACCAGCAGTTATTGGTGTTCTCGGAACTATTAAGCTCCCATATCCTTCAAGGGCATTTGACATGGCGCACTGTTCCCGTTGCTTGATTCAGTGGGGTGCGAATGGTAAGAACGGTGATTGTGTAGGATTTTGTTTATTAGATGGCATACTATGGGTGGATTTGACTTCAATGCTTTTCATAGATTATCATTATCAATGCTATAATTGATATTGAGGAATGTAGTATTTGCACAAATGAAGCTTTAGGAGTGGTTTTAACAATGATTTGATTGTGCAGTTCTAAATAATAAAACTACATCAGAGGCTTTTACTTACCAAGTGTATATCCATTGGTCACAATATCTATAGCTAAGACGCCCTTCGTTCTTGATTGTCCGTTTTTCTTAGTATTAAGTAAGACTGTTACTCTCTTTTTCTAGACGGTAAATATATGATGGAAGTTGATAGAGTGCTTAGACCAGGAGGATACTGGATACTTTCTGGTCCTCCTATCAACTGGAGAAACAGTTATCAAGCTTGGCAGCGATCGAAAGAGGATCTTGACGAGGAGCAGAAGAAGATTGAAGAGATCGCTGAACTTCTTTGTTGGGAAAAGAAATATGAAAAGGGTGAAACTGCAATATGGAGGAAAAGAATAAATAACGAGTACTGCAGTGATCGTGACTCTCGTGTAACAATGTGCAAAATAACTGAAGTTGATGATGTCTGGTAAGTCCTGAACTTGAAGATACATGTAATACAAAGTTGGACATCAGTTTACACATCCTCTTTCTTGTTTGTTTTCTTTTCTTTGAGTATTATAAATGCTGTTTAAATGAATCAAATTTACTTTGCTGTTGTGAGTTCTGCAACATGTCAAACTTTATGGCACTCATTTTGACATTTTGTTTCCACAATTGAAAGTGTGTATCTTTACTCTGATAACTGTTTATATTGGTTTGCTTTGTTTGGGAAGGTACAAGAAGATGGAGACTTGTGTGACCCCTTATCCTGAGACTATCACTTCTGAAGAAGTGTCTGGTGGGGAACTAAAACCTTTTCCTGGAAGGCTCAACTCTGTTCCTCCTAGAATAAGTAGTGGATCTATTCCTGGAGTCTCAGTTGATTCATTTCATGAAGACAATAAATTGTGGAAGAAGCATGTGAATGCTTACAAAAAGATAAATAAACTCCTTGACTCTGGGCGGTATCGAAATGTAATGGATATGAATGCTGGCATGGGTAGTTTTGCTGCAGCACTTGAGTCGTCCAAACTCTGGGTCATGAATGTTATGCCAACCATTGCTGATAAAGATACTCTTGGAGTAATTTTTGAGAGAGGCTTGATTGGCATATACCATGATTGGTAAGTATCTTTGAATCTTCAAGTTCGCCTTTCCCCTCAAAGAGCAAGAGTGCGTCTTTTCTGATATTCTAATCTTATTTTTCCAGTTTTGAGAACTCCGAAGATGTATTCTTTATCCCTGGTTTTATATGCTCTTACTACGCTGAATTTTATGCGGATTGTTCATCTTAGTGGCATCGGAGTACTGATTTTTATCTTTATTGGGATTGGTCATCCTTTTCGAATCTTTGTTCTGAAGAAAATCAGAGTTTCATCTTGTTACTAGAAAGCTGAGACTTGATTTTCTAGTAATGTGGATATATAGATATAGCCGTGTGTTTCTGGATGGTATTTCCTTTTCTAGGACTTGGTTTCTACTACTTCAGTACATTTACATATGGTGATAGTACAGATTGTCTATCTCTTGATCCATATTACTACCCTATGGCCCTTGGTGGAATCTATAGATCGACTAAAGTAGGTGATTTTCTAAAGAAAATCTTTGGTTTTTTGAGATGATGCCTTGGTTCAGTATCGTGGCTGCTTGCATTTCAGGTGTGAAGCGTTCTCTACATATCCTAGGACCTATGACCTCATTCATGCTGAAGGAGTTTTCAGCTTGTACAAAGACAAGTGAGTACCTTATCATTTGGCTAATCATACAACAAGTTTGTGCACACAAATCAGGAAAGTGTTTAGTGTAGCTGCTAATTTAAGTGGACTTTTTTTGCATAACCATTTGCAAGACAAAATTGATTTCAATAAATATCTGTTGACAATCCATGCAGATGTAGTGCAGAAGACATTCTTCTGGATATGGATAGAATTCTACGACCCGAAGGGGCTGTGATATTCAGAGACCACGCCGAAGTGCTGTCTAATGTCAAGACTACTGTTGCAGGTATGAGATGGAACATGAAAATGTATGATCATGAGGATGGTCCTCTTGTCCCGGAAAAGATATTGGTCGCCGTCAAACGGTATTGGGTTGTCGGAGAAACAAACTCAACCTATTCATAGTACAATATGCAGAACGAGCTCCAAAACATTTGTTTGGTAGAGGCACAAAGTTACAGAGATTTAATTTGAGAAGTAGGAAATTAATATAGAAGTTTCTTGATAGTTTTGATTATTTCTTAACCTTTAAATTATAGTCCATTAGCAGTAGAATTCAAAGGTTCAACTTCTTTTTGGTCTAATTAAGTACAAGGCACAATTATAGTTGGTCTTATTTTTTCATTCTTTTTGTGGCCTTTAGGCTTTAGAGTGTTGGTTTCCATTTTAAGTCTCTTTTGTCCAATACTTCTTCTTTCTTCCGCACTAGTTGTAAGATACAAATTAAAATTAAATTTACTTTAAAATTGTGCCTTGTACACAAGATTGAAGATAAAAGTATCTTCCATGTAACCCTATGACATTTATTTTCAAGGTTTGTGAACTGTACCTATAATCGTTAAACGATATGTATTAATTTTGGTATTGTGATCATTTGAAGTATTTCAACTCAGTAAACAATCATCAAAAAAAAAGAAAAAAAAAAAGAAAAGGAAGATGAATGAAACTTCGAGCATAATGATACTGTTTGAGCCGCATTTTCTGTAAATTTTGCAGGATTGATATTTATGTTCTCATTTAACTTCGCATGGGTGATGAATTATTACTGTTATCATTTTTTTAAACTTTCAATTTTGCGTTTAATACTAGTTAAAATCGACAAAAATATATGTTGGTTTTCACGATTTTGGGTTCAATTTTCTCGAGTTAAACTTCTTGTATTCTGAAGCATCATCCGGCCCTCATTTCCCGAATTACATATATGTCGGTTTCATGTAAAATGCGGCTAAATTTGTTAAAACTTAAAATATACTGTATTATTACAGATTTTATAATCTTCACAACCTCATTTTACTGCTCAATTTTCACAATATGTTAGAAATATATCCGCGACGCAACATAATCAACTCACAAGTTTGTGTTCATACACTTTTGGCTTGAATCATGAATCTCATCCTTTGTAACTTAAGGGGGCGAAAGCATGGGTGGCTTCCCGTAAACCTGAAATTGAAAAAATAAACAAAAAAAAGTTTCCTCTGATTAACGTTTCGGTTTGTGATTGGTGACTTGCTTTTATAACCGCTTGTCATTGGACATAATGTGAACTGACCCATTAAATATACGACGATACGGACGTTTGCATAGATCCCTAGCTATTGATGTCAATTTTAACAATTTTCCCTTTTTACATTTTTGTGACATATAATACTGATTGCTCACAGAATAATCATCTCTAGTAATTTCGATTAAAAGCGTGACCATCTGTGGACTCTGTGAAACTATCGCTTCGATTAGTACATTTCATCAAAAGAACATTTTTGAAAGTTTAAAAGCTACACGTTTTCATCTATTGTCTGCATCAAGAGCTTTCCAAACGTTTTTAAATCGAACTGGACAAAACAAGCTTGTCCAGTTTTGGCCATCTGTGTTGCTGCCAAAAACTATTGATTCGTTCAGTTAGCCTAGATAGTAGTACGTTACAACTCAGATTAAAGTTAAATACTAAAAAAAAAAAGAAAAAAAAAGGAAAAAATTATATGATACAAAGAAACGAAAAGGATGCATGGCAAGATATAATTCATGCATGCTTTAGTCAGAATCATGAATCTTGTTTCTTGAGCAGTCAGAAAAAAAATGTCCTAAAGTGGTTTTCGGACGAGGAAGAAGATGTTATTTTGTCCGCTTTGCAGTACAAATCAGAGTAAATCACCCAGAAAAAGCTTCTTCATATGGTGTCGTACTACGATTTGGTTCCCTTTTTTTTTTAAAAAAAAAAAAGTTTTGTATCATACATCAAAGGTCATATGAAAAATTAATTTCGACTTGAATGAAACGATCATCAAACATTATAGAGCATGATTGATAATTTGAATCCTCTTCTGAAAGATCTAATCAGGAATGTTACGCAAAAGAAATAACAATATATTTTCGTGTATGGTTGTCATTCTTTCCACAGCAACGTCCTATAGTTCTAAAAGGGAAAAATTGGTCGATCTACCTAAACATTGACATGCATTGTCAATTTTACCTTATTCTTTTTCGGTTAGCTAATATTATCCTAATCTATCCAACCGTTAGTCAATTTTGTCCAAATTGCCAATTTCCGTTTAAATTAACGGAATTCCGTTAGTTTTAATTACAAAAAATACCGTAATAATTTTGAAAATTATAAAAATAACCCCAAAAATTTATAAAAATAACCAAACAGTCTTTTTATCACTTTTTATTTAATTTTTTCTATTTTCTATTTCTCTTCACTATTTCTCATAACTATAAAAATATATTCTATAATCTTTTAAAAAAAATGCTATTTATTTTTAAAACATTATTGTGCAAATTTATAGATATGCATATTCGTAACTCATGGTTGATTTACATAAACATATTAATTTTTTAATAATATGATTTAATAGTAATGATATTATTTTTTTAATCTATTTTTTTCAGTCTGAAAAATAAGATTATTTAACTAAACCTAATTTTACACAAAAAATAAAACATTTAGCATAGATTAAATTTTTTTTATTGGTATTATTACAATATAATTCAACAGAATTTAGATTGTATTGTAAAATTAAAAAAAATAATTAAACTAAAATACACATTTTCTTTAAAAGGCCAAGTACAAACAGAAAGTAAAAAAAATGGTACAAAATATTTTATAAAAATATGTATATTTATCATTGCCAGAGTTTAACATTTCGTGATAATTTTTTTGAGATATTAACATCTAACTTTAGCAGGAAATTTTTTTTGATAATAATAAAAAAAATCTGCTTCAGTACTAGACTCCACCTTTAAAAAAAAAAGATCGCCCCAGTGAGACTTGAGGCCTCGAACACAGTAATAATTTTCTCCCATCTTAAATCACCTGACCATCCAACTCAACCCTCTCACCTTTAGCAAACCATGCATAAATGTGGATAAAATCACTCTCCCGGTTAAAAATCCTTGGCGAGAATTAATCTTATATCTACTATCATGAATCTCAACACCCTAAACACTAGATTGTCACTATATTTTAGTTTAGTAATTTTTTGAATTGGATAATACAATCTATAGTTTGTTTATTCAATTTGTAATAAATTAAAATGTACTAATATATTATTTTTTAATCTATGCCAAATGTTTTACTTTTTTGTAAAAAATAGTTTTTAGTCAAAAAATATTATTCTTTAAATTGAAAAAAGGATTAAAAAACTAATATCATTATTGTCAAGTTATATTATTAAAAATTAATATGTTTATGTAAATCAACCATGAGTTACAAATATACATATCTATAAATTTGTACAATAATGTTTAAAAATAAATAGTTTTTTTAAAAGATCATATAATATATTTTTATAGTTATGAGAAATAATAAAAATAAATAGAAAACTGAAAAAATTAAATAAAAAGTATAAAAAGACTGTTTGGTTATTTTGACAAATTTTTAGGGTCGTTTTTATAATTTTTAAAACTATTAAGGTATTTTTTATAATTAAAACTAACAGAATTCCGTTAATTTAAACGGAAATTGGTCAATTGGACAAAATCGGCTAACGGTTGGATAGCTTAGGGTAATATTGGTTAATCGAAAAAGAATAGGGTAGAATTGACAATGAATGTCAATTTTTGGGTAGATCGGTCAATTTTTCGTTCTAAAAGGAAAAAGAAATTGGAAAATAAAAGAGGAAAAAAAATCAAGCAATAAACAGTAAAATCGCTGTAGGCGCTGTTGATCATCTCGCGTGTAAAATGCCCAAATGCCGAAAATGATGAGTCAATGTCGATCTCAAAATAAGGCTAGCAGCTTATGTTAAATCAACAAAAAGTTGGTATAACATCGTTAAATGAAAAAATAACCATATCTACAGTACTACCTGTTAAATCAACAGTTTCAACTTCCATTTGGGATCACTAGAACCCTAGGGGAGGGGGTCTCAATTATCATATTTGGTGTGTTTTTTGATATTGATAGTTTGATGTAACACCCTCTATTTTAGTATCTGGTCTGTTTAAATCCCATAATTCAGTTGTATTACCTTCTATTAATTGCTTCTTTTTTTTTTTTGATGTGTCCATCAGTACTAGATATTACTGATCATCAAAGTTTTGCCCTTCGTAATAACTTGTAAGTTCATGGACCATGATATCATCATTGACATAGTATTAATTTTGCTGTTGATGATCGTTTCTTGTTTGTTGTAAATGTTAGAGGAGAAGCACTTATATTAGGAATCTAATTATTATAAATCTATAAGTGGAGTTTCGTCGGTAGACTGGATGGTAGGTTAACTAATTTACTCATTTCACCGGATAAATTAATTCGAATACATTGATAAATTGGTCGAAAATGAACGTTTGGTGCAAAGATTAAAATTTTGTGCTATCTTTTAAGTTTTTGGTATTCCATCATGAATCTTGGATGATTTCCTATTGTAATATTTAGTATATTTCCTATTATGTTCTAGTTTAGGGTTTCTTATTGTCTATATATAGTCTGTATATTGTGTACAATAGAACACACATCTAATACAATTTCCCTATTCTACATTAATCATTAATCATTTTTTTACAGTGCATTATTTTTAAATTAAAGAAAGTCCGACACTTTGTTAACATTTAACGGGCCTTGAGAAGAATTGCTTGTTTTCAGCTTATAACTGGAATTAACCCAACTAGCAAGCTACTGTATAATGTATATGATGTAGTCAGATGTAATCAACCAACAAATTAATAAGACTTAGGCAAGAATAGGTTGATATATTCATTGTCGAAAACCAACGTTTGATGTATAGATTATATTATTTTGGATTTGTAGTCTATCTTCAATCATTTCTTGATTATTTCATCAAAATTTATCATTTTCGAGCTTATAACTTTTAAATTAAGAAAAAATCCGATAACTTGTTAAGGTCGTTCCCAACAGCAGCACCAATTTGATAATTTGATGACTGCTACAATAATTTGTAGCTCAAGCATTAACATCTTATACTAAAAAAATAAAATATTTCTACGTATGATACGATACAAAAATAAAAAAGAAACTTGACATGTACCACATGAGTATATCATAATTATCGAAAAATTGCACGATTCATGGTTGTATCAACCGATTCAATACACATCTTAGGAGACGACACGAAATGTACGATATGTTGTTCCATTACAAAATTCTCTCTATTTCAATTTTTTTTCCAATTGATATTTTATTTCTTCTTTGGATGGTTTTATTTGCCACATTAAAAACTACTAATGCAACTTCCTTTCTTTGATGATCAAAATTTTAAAAAAAATAAAAAATAAAAACAATCATCATATCAAAATAAATATCGGGATCTTTCCTTTCTCAAATTTGCAAATGTCATCTAAAAAAAATTGTAAAACTAGAATTCTGATACATAATACGTATCTCGATTCGGCAACTATGTCTTGATTCTTTTTATTATTTAATCTATCAAATTACAATCAGAAACCCAACTTTCTTTTCATATTTGGAAGGCTTCCAAAATACTTTTTGAAGTGTACGTTTTCGTTTGCACAAAAAAAATAATAGTAATAATTTGGGAAACCATAGTTCATTAAACTACAGTAAAAATCATAGTTCATTAAGAAAAATTGCTTTAAATCACCACATTAATTTAGCAGGGCCTTAAAAATAATTGCTTGTGTTAAGGTTAGAACAGGAACGAAACTAACTATATTTTGTCAAATGTAATCAACCGACAAATAAGACTTAGAAATTAAGCTCTTCTAATTTACACCGAATGGGTTCATCATGACTAGGAATACCAGTTTCAGGTTGTTCTTCCTCTGAAATAAGAGAAATATGTACGTATACGCATTATATCACCTTTAATGGCCTTGCGTATCTGATTATACTAACCTAAACTATATACGTAAACTTTGAGCCAAGAGTCCAAAATAAAAAATACTCCCTCCGTCTCATAATTATTGTCTACTGTGAGTTTTCATTTCTAGTTCAAACTGTACTAAAAATTAAATCTTAAATTGGATAATAATTTTGAGATAGAAAAAGTATCGATTTCCTTCATCCGAAAAAAAAAAAGACCATATTGTATTTGATAAACTTAAACAGTATAACGAACTTGATTTTTTTCCTTCTTATGGTGCAGAGGGGCTATATATTTCAAATTGCAGTTACTGTGTTGAGAAAATGAAACGCATCATGTACAATAAAATTTGTCGGCTCAAGATTATTGAATTGAATGAATGGTAGAGTCTGGACCTTATTATTTCTTCATTTCTGAACCACTTATTTTTTATTTTTTTTTTTGAGTTTCACATCTACTTGCTCATGTCAAACTTTATGAGAGCATGGTGTATTTAATGTGAATCACTTTCAACATTACCGGGTGGCAACAATAATGAAAGTACTCCCTCCGTCCCAAAAAAAAATAGTCCATATTGAGATTTAAGTTTTGTACTGTTTTTAGTATAAATTTACGAACTCAAAGTGAACTATTTTTTTGGGATGGAGGTAGTAGCATTCTTTATATACTCTCTGCCGATTATAGTTTTTTTTTGGTCACCTGCTGGTTTAATAGTTTTAAGTTTACTCAAGTATGTAGTGAGCGAAAGATAATAATGTTTCATCTATCTCAATATAAACGTTATGTTTGTTACGTTATAGAGGACATACTAAGAAATGATGCACACGTGATCAAAATGTATATTAAGCTTGTATACTTTGGAATGGATAGCTGTAGGATCCGGGAAAATATAAAGATGCACGTACAAAATGAAATTAGCTGTAGTGAACACTACTATTTGACGAGGAATGCTCGTTTTATATTGAAATAATTATTTAGTTTGGATGATTATTTTTTTTCTTTTAACAGAAATTGTATTAAAGTGAAAATTTCAAAAAAAACAATAAAAAAAATGGATCGATGGAGTCTATAATACTTACAATTAATGCCGTAAAAATCTTCCTTGATATTTCAATGGCATTTACCCTCTTTTGAAAAAGTTGTACAAACTTTTAAGCGTTTCCTTGCCCTCACCCAAACCAAAAAAATCTTTTGCTTCTTTATCTTTAATCCACATGCCAATATAACTACGTGCAACTAGCTAGTTTATTTTACGTGATAAATTTTGGGCTTCATAATATAATTTATAAACAAATTTTTCATAAAATTTTATGAGATAATTTTTAAGACGGCACATGCCATATTCAAACAAATCTCCATGCGATCCAAGTAAATTCTTTTTGGAGCAAAGATATCTCCCACATTCTTTTACAAAGTGAATGTAATTTCCCCGTATAATTAGTTACTTTAATTTTGTAATTGAGAATTTAAATTAATTTTAAAATTCTTTCCAACATATCTTCAGCGACCATTGACTTATCCAACCTAATTTTAATTGTCTCAAGTAGAATATAGATGTTCTTGGTGATTCTTAATTATAATATCAATGCTAACTCATAAACGAATCATGCCTTTTTCTATTGGGGTCCACAAAAAATTAAAGTTATTATTTTGTCAGCAAGGACTTTGGTATATAAGAACTCAGAAAAATAAATGCAACAAAATGTGCCCAAATTTAATGTTGTAGGATCCACATCTTTTTTTCAATTTTTTTCTTCAACATTGATCACTAGCCACCTTATTCCTCCTTATATATGAGTGCTTCTCCTCAAGAACAGCCTGAAAAATCATAGCAAATTTTGCATAATCATTTCTCCAACTTATAGTCTCTTTATTAATTCTTCTTATAATCTCTTCTCAACATATATAATTTCTCCAACTTCTCCATCATCTTTATTTCCACATTCAAAAAACCATGGAAGCTCATTATGAAGAAAACTTAGCCAATCGAGTTGCATCATTTTCATACTACCTCAAGCCTGGTGATCAAGAGAACTTTGTGCAAAAACTAAATGGTCTTCATCATATTAAAGATGATGATCCTCTTCCTACAATTTTCTCACACCAACAGTCACCTCGAAAAAAATCACCAATCATCAAACCATCCCAAAATGTAAAAATCTCACAACCCATTGAAACCCAAGAAAATATTTTGTTTAGGGTCATCAAATCACAACAAGTTCATGATATCGATGAAGCTGAATATTCATCAGCGACAAATCATCATCTTCAAAGAACCAGTTCTTCTTCCCACAATGGTGAAATTGGAGTATTCGGAGCTGACAAGTACTTTAACACGCCATTGGAGTGCGACACAGCGATGGAAAATGAACTCGAAAACAACCAGGTTCCGGTTGATCTTCCGGGATTAAACCTAAACTTTAGGCCAAAAACTCCAAGTATGTCTTCCGAGGCAAGTAGCTGGAACAGTCAAGCTGCCCTGCTACGGAATCTTTCTCAAAGAGGTATGTCGCAACAAGCAAGGGCACCAAGAAGGGCGAATAGGAGGCGAATTTTCGCCACTTTCGGATGCAGTGGACAGTGTTTGGAGAAAGGATCAGTTTCGATTGCAGAAACTCCACAAAAAGAAACCAGAAGAAGATTAGACCATTTTGCATTCCCTGTCTTGAACAATAACGATCCACAGCGTATTGCGCAAGTTAAGAAGCCACCATTATTGGAAGGATTCATCGAGGCGCCGCGAAAATCATTGGAGGTTTTCGGATCAGGAAGGATGAAAAATGGTGACATTATTGCCAAGAATTTGGCTAGGAATTTGTCAATGCTAACTTGGGATGCAATCCCAAAATCAAAAATTGCTTCCACTACTACAATAGGAAGTACAACAATATGTCATGATCAGGACATGACTAGTGATGCGAGTTCCGATCTGTTTGAAATCGAGGACTTAACTGGTGGATATGGGATTTTGAGCAATAATAATATGGAAGATGATAATCAAGAAATTGAAGGGATTAATCATCATGGAAATGAGTATGCACCAAGTGAGGCTAGTATTGAATGGAGTGTTGTCACAGCTAGTGCTGCTGCTGATTTTTCATCTGTCATATCTGATTATGATGAAAAGTATGTTGGCATTTCGGGTGAACAAATGATCCACAGTAGAAATAATAATAATTCAAGTAGTCACAGGAATTTTAAGGCCAAAAATCTAGAGGGCAAGGAAGCACAAAGAGGCCGACCTGGAGGGCTTTTGGGTTGCAAGAGTCATAAGGCTGTGAATGTTGTTGAGAGCACTGTTGTGCCTAAGTCTAGGGTTGTGGAAAGGTATTGACTTTAGTTTGTTGCAATATGGTGAAATTATTGTTTGATATCCAATCAACTTTTTCGTGTTTCACTTGTATGTATTAGTAGTAAAACGATTGTCTTTTTAATAAAAAAAATAGTTGGTTTGCAACTTGAAATTATAGTATTACTAGTTATGATAACTTTTTGATGGAGAGAAAATAAGATAGTGCGGGGAAACAAGTTTTGTTTTAGGCATGATGTGTCTGCTGGTATTTCATTTTTTTTTTCTTTTTGACGTGCCATAATGTATTTATTACTCTCAACAAATAGAGCAAGTGGGAGTCAAATCTTTCTTCCATCGATCAAATATGACAAAACAAAGAACCTAACCTAGCTTGTAGTTGTCTCCTATATTCAGAAGATTTATGTCATTTCTAAATAACCCAGTCTTATCTAACCAAGATAATCTAGGAGGATTAGAACTCAAATCCAATGATAAGTGTGGGGCACATGATATTTAAAAGTAATCTAGTCGAAAATTTTAAGTCCATTTCTACCAGTCTCATCGATCAAAATGATTTAAGAAACTAAATAAGGACTTTTTAAGCTTTGGGACATTATTAGAATCATCAATCATCATGTGTCTACAAATATTTTAACTTGTCTAATAATTTTTTTTGCTTAAAAAGGGTAACTAGAGTCAAATCATACAACTCTTTTGAAATGAAGGCAAAAAGTTACTCGTCTAACGAAGTTATTTTCAAAACTTCTTGTTCGTTAGCCATAAGATTTTCTTTTGGCACAATGAATAATACTAACAATTACACCTTATGAATGAGATATATTGATAACAAAAAAATAGACATGCTGTATTTTTGTAGCTTTGTTCCTGCTTTAGTTAAAGTTGATCATTCGCAATCTAATAAAAGAAAACTTTGAATACTTGCATTATTCTTGTCCGAAAAAAAGGCAGCAGCATCCTGCAAAGGGTTCGAATGTGCATGTGAGCCAACATCTGTTCAAAATATGTACTTACATATTGATCGAACTTGGTTCTAAAACTTCACATCGTTTTTGTTTCTTTTTAGTTATAGATATCGTACTTGAAAGCCCTTCCATGTTTTGGAGCATTGTGGAAGAAATGGTTCATTTTGGCAAACAACTTTACCCTACTTTACCCACAACATCTATGGATCATATATGTATAGCCAGATAGATAATCAACTAAAAACGAATTTTGCCTGTATGACACAACTCCAGATCAAAAAGACCCTACGGTTCCAGAATGTCGCATGGCTTTTAAACATCTCCAGACCCCAAAATTTCCTCGGGTTCTATTTACAAGGTACAAAATGCAAATGCAGATTGGTCCTCATTTTGAAAATCTTTATTCGAAATATTAGTTACTTGGAAATTGTGTTAGTAGTGGTCACAATGGAAAATAAGATCCAGAGTAATTGCTAAGTTTCTATATATAAGTGCCAAAGTGGTAATCTAAAGACTGACGGAAGATCTATTTAGGAAGTAAAAAATCTTTTTTTTCTTTTTTTTTTATATGAAGGAAACTTTAGAGCTTAATTACAAAAGATCTTCTTGAGCGGGAGATATTCGTAAACAATCTACCTCTATCTTGAGTATGAAGGAAGTAAAAATCTTTTTATGATGGTTTTTTTCGACCATAAGCAATAGTTAAATACCATATATTTGACCATCAGAAAAGTGGGACCTGTTATAGTCTTTTTTGGATTTAAAAATTGCCAAAACTGACGGAACTCCAAGGCCTCCATGAAATGTGTTCCAAAATTGAGTTGGTTATAATGGAAGAATTGGGACTTCTCTATAAGCAATAATCTTACCAGTACATGTCCAACGTTGGGATCTTTTTATTCCCATTTGGAAAACTTGTAACAAAAAAAAAAAAAAAAAAAACTAATTTTGAAAAGAGATTCAGTATTTATCGTGACCTTGAGATGAAAACAGTAAGGCTTTGTTTGTTTCTTCACCCATTTTACATTTTAACTCATTTTATCTCTTAAACACAAAACCCAATATAAAAAAAATATCATCCAAACAACTTTCTGATTCACATTTTAAACTCCAACTTGAAATACTTTTTGTTAGTGTAATGACCATTTTAGAACTACAAATAGTTTAGTGACAAATTTGACAGGATTCCGTTGTTGAGTGATTGTTTTTGGAAACGTTCTTTTTTGCAGTAAGTATAATTGACAGTATTTAATTGTTTAGTGATGATTTGTACTTGATATTTCAAAATGTAGTTCAAAATATTTTTTTTCAAAACCAACATCCAAACAACATTTTTATTTTTCATTTAGTTTTCAATTTAAAATACTTTCCACTTTTAAATAACAAAATGAAATATAAGTTTACGTACAAACAAGCTAATTTACTCCGGATCATAATACACGCAACTTATAAATCAAGCTAGACTGACCATCAGGTATCTAATAATTAAGTTTGCATGCATAAATGCGTACACATTTGTCAACTCTTGAAGGTCCTACCATTCCAGAATCAAGCATGGGTTTTAAACATTCTCAAATCTCTTCCTGTTGTAATTATAGAAGTCCATGGGTATCACCTCAAAACCAATTGGTAATGAGGAGAGTAGCCCATAGAGCTTATATATTAATACTCAGAGTTTTAATAGCGATGTGGGATTGAAACTCTTTAATACTCCCCTGCAGGCCCAACGTATTTTTTGGGTTGGGCTTGTCCTATTTTTTCAGCCTAGACACCGCTTCACATCTCAACTCTATTTTTTTTGTTGAGCTTTTTGGAATCCGAATGTCGGCGGACTAGCTCTGATACCATGTAGAAGCCCATGGAATTTCACATCAAAACCAATTGAGAATGAGGATAGTAACCCATGAAACTTATATATTGATACTCAGAGTTTTCTAACACCGATGTGGGATTGGGACTTTTTACATTTGAGTACAATTAGTTTTGACAAATTAAGGACTGTAGATTTCTAGACAGAAAACAAGAGATTTGTTAAATATACAAGACATCATTATTATCTAATTTTCTTGGTCTTAATGAAAAATTTATAAATAAAACAAAAAAGATATCGTATAGTCTTTCCGTTCAGAACAAGCTAGGTTTTCTTTATTCTGTTAAAATATTGCAACAAATTTGATGATCATTTTGAGACTTGTGAAGTTCGTAAACGTAGATATATAATTGATTTGCAAGTAGCCCAAATGAATTTATTATGATGGGAGTGCCATGGAATGTTTTTCCACACGGGACCAATATAATTAATTTGAAATCAATATCGCAGCTGGAGGTCGAAGCGACATTCTTCTTTATTAGTTAATGATGGACCCTTGGACCACACCCTAAATATATTGCATGGTTATAATTCTCTCTGTTGTTTCTGTTGTCATTAAGATTTAGGGTTTAAAAATCTCTCTCTCTATATATATATATATATCCATTTCAGATGAGTCAAGACATTCATACATCAGCTGGAATGATGAAGAGCATATCTCTGAAAGTTAATCTCTACAACTACCTTTTGGCCAATAAATCCTAACCTTAATTATTTATTATTTATATAATGTTGGATATATTATCTTTTGAGTACGAATTATTCTTCTCCACTAGTTTATTTGTTGTGAGTAATTTCATAATGATATTCTTGAGGAAAAATAAATAGTATGTAATGTTACTTGCACCAATTTCTAGTCAGGAAAAAGTATCTGCAGTTGTTACTGAATACTTTATTTTTCAAAAAACTACTTTATCCGTCCTCAAAATAATTATCTGATTTGAATTTTAAGTTTTAGTATATACTAGATTTTTTTTTCCAGGACAAATGAAGTATATATATATTTTTTAGTAAATACACATGACACGCACATAGACTATTAAATGGATGAAATCTAACGGGGGAAAGAGGTTACAATGGAGTATTTAGTACTAGCCTAGTTATTGGATTTTTTGTTTTTAGAGGGGAGCTACGACGAAAACTAGGAATTTTGTGATACAATGTGTGGGAAAGCATTGCCAATACAGTTTAGGAACTTTGACTTTAATATATAACACCAAAACTCAACTTAATGGGAGAAAAATGAAAGGAGATGGAGAACAAGTAAAACAATAATGAGAAATGGGGTTGATAGATTCAGCTAATTTGTTTTACGATGAACTGTGAGAGTCACACTAGGTCATAAGTGAATTCTACCGCCCTAGAATTTTTTTGAATGTCTTCAAAGGCAACTTTGAAAAGGTACCTTACGAGAAATATTTACCAGGCTCGAAATAATTATTATATTGTGCAAAACACAGCTACAAAATTAATTGGAATTCAGAAATGACTACAAACCATTTCGTTACGCATTGGATGGAGTACAAAGTAATGATTTTGAGGAGAATGAACCTATATTGGGAACTAAATTTAGGTCATTACAGTGCAAGACAATATGTTGGTAGGTTTGAATGTTGTCATATATTGAGGATATTCATAAAAAAAATGTCGTTTCTACCCAAAGTTTTTTCTCTCGTCGTTAATCATACTCAATAGATTTTCGGTTAGCTACTTTATCCTAATGTTTGAAATTTTCGCCAATTTTGTCCAATCGGCTCATTTTCCATCCAAATTAACGGATCCCCGTTAGTTTTTTAATAAAATAATAAATTTAATTAAAAAAACACCCCAATAATTTTTAAAAATTTTAAAAATAACTCCTAAAATATAGAAAAATAACAAAACAGTCCCCTTTCACTTTTTATTTTATTTTTCTCTATTTTGTTCCATTTCTCTCAACTACTTTTAATGACCCTAAAAGTCTATTATATTAGTTTTTAAAAAATATTTATTTATTTTTAAACTCTACCGTAAAAATTAATCTTTGTATAGTTGTAACCCATGATTATATTTATATAAGCATGTTAATTTTTTTAATAATATATTTTAGCAATAAAGACACTATTTTTCTGATTTATTTTATTCTTCCTAACATAAAGATTAAAAACATTTAAATGAAACCAATATTCCACATAAAAATAAAATATTAGCTCAAATAAAAAAAATATTAATATATTTTAGTTTATTACAATTTAACTCAAGAGACTATAACTTGCATTAATATAATTCATAAAAAACTAAATGAAATATAAAATAATTAAGACACTATTTTTCTGATTTATTATATTCTTCCTAACATAAAGATTAAAAATATTTAAATGAAACTAATATTCCACA